TTGAGGCATGGCTCAAGAGGCATAGAACACCAGACAGGAGCTGCAAACCCTAACACTGCTACACACACACACACACAAGCAAAATGGATGGGAGATCCAGGGATCCACATCCTGAGGCCAAGAGCCTTGAGGTGAAGGTTAAAGGCTAGAAGTTAAACCCCAGGGGGAAGAGGAGCTCAACTATTGGATGTCCAGAGTGGTCTCAGGTAGAAGGCTTGTGGGGAAGGGGGCAGGGAGGAGGTAACAGTGCCAGGCTTCTGAAATATTGCTCCCACTGAAGCTCAGGAGTAAAAGGAGCTGGGAATGTGGCTTAGTGATGCAGTGCTTGCCTAGCATGCATGAAGCCCTGGATTCAATTCCTCAGTACCACAGACACAGAAAAAGCTGAAATTGGTGCTGTGGCTCAAGTGGTGGAGTGCTAGCCTGGAGCAAAAGAAGCTCAAGGACAGTGCCCAGGCCCTGAGTTCAAGCCTCAGGACTGGGGAAAAAACAAAAAAGCATGCAGAGTTGACTTCAGGCTAGCCTGAAAGGTCAGAAGTAAACTCACAGCTTCACTCGGGACAGCTCACTAGGGAACACCCCCTGTGTGCCAGGCCCTGCTCAAGGTGCTGGAGATAGATGGCAGCCAGGACCAGATCTGTGCCCTTGGGGAGCTTACATTCTAGTGGGGGCCAGTGATGAGAAAGTACATGTGGTCACCAGGGACCAGCAGCCCTTAATTAGCTCTCCCCTTAGAGTTGGGAGGGGAAGGCCTGTCCTCAGCATCTGCCCCCCCTCCCCCCCTGCCCCACAGACATTGCCTGATGTGCGGCTGCTGCCTCGGAGGCTGCCGCTGGCCTTCCGGGATGCCACTTCAGCCCCCCTGCGCAAGCTCTCTGTGGATCTCATCAAGACCTACAAGTACATCAATGAGGTGGGCAGGGAGCCAGGCGCCTGGGCAGGGCGCCCAGGGGTCTTGGCTGCTGGCACAGGTCACTCACCAGTCCTTGTCTCCTGGCCACCTGGCTGGGCAGGTGTACTATGCGAAGAAGAAACGGCGGGCCCAGCAGGTGCCACCCCAGGACTCGAGCACCAAGAAGGAGAAGCGGGTCCTGAACCATGGTTACGATGACGACAACCATGACTACATTGTGCGCAGTGGCGAGCGCTGGCTGGAGCGCTACGAGATTGACTCTCTGATTGGCAAAGGCTCCTTTGGCCAGGTGCGGGCAGGAGGTGGGGGCACCGGCACCTGCTGATAGGATCCCACATTCACACTGTGGCTCTGTGGCTTCAAGTCTTGTGCAGGACCACTCACCTCAGTCCAGCCACTTAGTTGTGCCTCAGTTTACTTTTCTGGAGAAGTAGAAATAACCAGAGACTGCATACAAGAGAACTTACTTTGCACCCAGTGTTGATACCAGTGTCCACTGAGGGTGAGCCCTCAGCCAGGAGTCGTTGGTTGGAGGACCAGTGTAGTTGGTGGGTCTCCTGGCTGGAGGGAGAAGCTCAGCATGTGGCTCTGTCCCCCTCCTCATCTGGTGCTGTGTCCCCCCCCAACAGGTGGTGAAAGCCTATGATCATCAGACCCAGGAGCTGGTGGCCATCAAGATCATCAAGAACAAAAAGGCCTTCCTGAACCAGGCACAGATCGAGTTGCGGCTGCTGGAGCTGATGAACCAGCATGACACAGAGATGAAGTACTACATAGGTAAGACCTGGAGCTGGCTTCCTTCCGCACAGAGCACCTGGGTTTGCCCGCAGGCTGGGGTCCTCCACTTCAGTGGTTCTCTGGATTCTCCTGCCTCCTTTGCGATTATTCCTGTTTGCTTGGTAAAAGTGGTCAGTGTTTCCCAGGCTCTGCTGTGAGCAGGTCACATCAATCATCTCCCTTACAGCTCACATTCTTGCCCATGTTGGAGATAAGAAACTGAGGAACTGGGTATTGTCACTTGCATGAGGTGACAGTTTGTGGCAGCAGAGCTTTAATTTGATGACTGGGGGTGGGGGGTGGTCCTATTAGAAAGAGTGTGTAGATTGTATTTTATAAGGAGAGCAAATGGAAAAGCACCTTTCCGCTCCACAAAACTCACAAAAATGGTGTTACATTTTAAATGTGAAGTGTTAAAAGGCCTGCTGAGAGCAAATAGAAAGTTTTTGGTTTAATCAGAGGTTTGGCAGAGCCCAAGGGACAGTAAGTGAGCCAATTCCTTGCCATTAGAAACATTGTGGCGAGCTGGTGGCACCCAAGGGCATAGCAAGGGGGCATGGCTGGGAAGAAACAGATTAATTCCTGTGTGGGCCCTCCCCTGGCAGTGCACCTGAAGCGGCACTTCATGTTCCGGAACCACCTGTGCCTGGTGTTCGAGCTGCTGTCCTACAACCTGTATGACCTCCTGCGAAACACACACTTCCGAGGCGTCTCGCTGAACCTGACCCGGAAGCTGGCACAGCAGCTCTGTACAGCGTTGCTCTTCCTGGCCACGCCCGAACTCAGCATCATCCACTGCGACCTCAAGCCAGAGAACATTCTCCTCTGCAACCCCAAGCGCAGTGCCATCAAGATCGTGGACTTCGGCAGCTCCTGCCAACTTGGCCAGCGGGTGCGGCTCAGACCTGCTGGGGCAAGGGTGTGGGAGGGGCAGAGTGGGGCGGGGCCAGCAGTGGAAGGAGATGGCTCCAGGATGTGGGAAAGGAGGTAGGAGAGAGGCCCACAGGGTGAGTGTACTGCCCACCAGGAAGAGGAACTTGAGCCTGAGGAGTAAGGCCACTTCTGTAGCTCCAGCTGTGACGTTGGAGTTGGCTGGTCACAGGTCTGGTGCTGCTCAGTGAGCAGGCCTAAGTTACACTAGTGTTGGGGCCCTGGGGACCACCAGCCTGTGACTGGGGGTGACCTAGAAGGCCAGGGAAGGGGAACGCCACAGGCTGCTGAGCAAGATGGTGCTGGAGGCTCCTAGGCAGGCATGCTGAGAGCTATGACAGCAAGGGGCTGGTGCTAGGTCAGATCTCCCACCACCTGGGAGCCCTGACCATTCCATCCCCTCTAGATCTACCAGTACATCCAGAGCCGCTTCTACCGCTCCCCGGAGGTGCTCCTGGGCACACCCTACGACCTGGCCATCGACATGTGGTCCCTGGGCTGCATCCTGGTAGAGATGCACACTGGGGAGCCCCTCTTCAGTGGCTCCAATGAGGTGCGCCCTCAGGACGGGGTGTGCCGGAGGGGGCAGGAGGGGGCCTGGTTGTACTGGGGCCCCTGACCACCACCTGCCCGCAGGTGGACCAGATGGGCCGCATTGTGGAGGTGCTGGGCATCCCACCAGCCCCCATGCTGGAGCAGGCCCCCAAGGCTCGCAAGTACTTTGAGCGGCTGCCTGGGGGTGGCTGGACCCTACGCAGGACAAAGGAACTCAGGAAGGTGCGCCCTGCCCCATGCCAGCCCTCCTTCCCTGGGTGGCCCTCACTCTCACACTTGGGGCTCCCTCTCTTCCCTGCTTCCTCTGTGTCTCTCCCTGCCTCCCTCCCACCCCCAATTGTCTGCCCTCTCCTTCCTTCCCTGCCCTCCCTGCACCTCGTCTTAGCTTCTCTCTTTCCACTTTCTTTCTTGTGCCTCTGTTTCCCCGTGTGTGTCTCCCTGCCCCTCCTGCCCACTGACGGCCACTCTCTTGCCCCCCCTCCCACCCCCTCCCTGCCAGGATTACCAGGGCCCCGGGACACGGCGGCTGCAGGAGGTGCTGGGCGTGCAGACGGGCGGGCCCGGGGGCCGGCGGGCGGGGGAGCCGGGCCACAGCCCCGCCGACTACCTCCGCTTCCAGGACCTGGTGCTGCGCATGCTGGAGTACGAGCCTGCCGCCCGCATCAGCCCCCTGGGCGCCCTGCAGCATGGCTTCTTCCGCCGCACGGCCGACGAGGCCACCAACACGGGCCCGGCAGGCAGCAGTGCCTCCACCTCGCCCGCGCCCCTCGACACCTGCCCCTCCTCTAGCACCGCCAGCTCCATCTCCAGCTCGGGTGGGTGCTCAGCGCCCCGAGCTTCCACACTGCCTGCTGCTCAGTTCCCAGTGGAGATGGGGTGGGGGGCTCCCCCTTCACGCTTGCTCAGACTCCTGAAATTGGTTCTGTAACAGCTAGAAAGACTCCCATTCCGCAGCTCAAAATTGGACTGGGGCTGGGAGCATGACTCAAGTGATAGAGTACCTGCCCTTAGTTCAAACCCAGTAGGGCAAAAACAACAACAACAAAAAAAAAACACTGGATCTTTCAAAGGGGCTCTGTCCTAGAGCCCAAACCTGGCCTAGGCTGTGAACCAGGCTCAGTCACCTCTCACCTGTGCGGCCTCTTCTCCCTGGTGCTTCTAGGAGGTTCCAGTGGCTCCTCCAGTGACAACCGGGCCTACCGCTACAGCAACCGATATTGTGGGGGCCCTGGGCCCCCAATCTCTGACTGTGAGATGAACAGCCCCCAGGTATTGTGGGGGCTCTGTAAGTGGGTGTGGGGTACCAGAGGCTGCAGAACCTGGGTCTCCATCACCCCACCCCTTTTGCTTTTTTAGGTTCTGCCCTCCCAGCCGCTGCGCCCCTGGGCAGGGGGCGATGTGCCCCACAAGACACATCAAGCCCCTACCTCTGCCTCATCACTGCCGGGGACCGGGGCCCAGTTACCCCCCCAGCCCCGATGCCTTGGCCGTCCCCCATCACCAACCTCACCACCACCCCCGGAGCTGATGGATGTGAGCCTGGTGGGAGGCCCTTCAGACTCCCCACCTCACCCAGCGCCTGCCCCCCAGCACCCGGCTGCCTCAGCCCTCCGGACTCGGATGACAGGAGGTCGTCCACCTCTCCCACCCCCTGATGACCCTGCCTCTCTGGGGCCTCGCCTGGGCCTCCGTGGTGTACCCCAGAGCACAGCAGCCAGCTCATGACCCCGCCCCCTCTCTGGGGCCCTTCCTGAAGCCATACCCCCCCCCCATCTGGGGGCCCTGGGCTCCCATCCTCATCTCTCCCCCTAGACTGGAATTGCTGCTACCCAGCTGGGGCGGGTGAGGCCTGCACTGATTGGGGCCTGGGGAAAGGGTCAAGGAGAGGGGTTTGGCCACACCCTCCCCACTAAGGACTGGACCCTTGGCCTCCTCTCCCCCTTGTTTTCTATTTATTGTACCAAAGACAGTGGTGGTCCGGTGGGGGAGGGGGAGACACTCTCCCTTGCCCCAGGACCCTAGGAGGGGTGGGGGCAGGTAGGGGGAGATGGCCTTGCTCCTCCTCGCTGTACCCCCCAGTAAAGAGCTTTCTCACATGCCTGCCTGAGCGTTTGCAGGGCCTTGGCTCCCCCTCACCCGCCCTCAGAGCCCTTGTGGGGAAAGGTGTAGGGGAGAGGGGGTGTTGGAAGAGCTCTAGTGTAAGTACATCCCTTCTGGGTAAATTAAAGAGTTGATGCAGGCATGGGGCTGCAGGAGAGGCTACAGAATCCTGGGCATGTTGTGGGTAGAGGCCTAGCCCACATTTGCCTTTTCCAGGGTAAAAAGACCCCAAAAGGGTAGAGGCCCCCTTAGGCTCACCTGTCTGCGAAACACCATGTTCTGCTCTCCTAAACCACGGCTCGCTGGGGGGGTTGGTTGCACGTCAGAGGCTGTTTATGCCAGGCAGGTATCCAATGTTGATGCCGTCGGGGAGCAGACGAGCGGCGAGCACAGCTTATGCCCAACCCATGCCTGGTCCCACTTCGGGCTCATTGTAGAAAGAAGCATTTTGAGATTTTTTTTCAGGCAAAGATGCTCCCTTGGTTCCAGGTAAGTAGTCTTGTTTCCATGGCAATCTGGGAACTTCCGTCTCCTATTAGCCAATCAAGAACCGCACGGTTCAGAGTACTGGCTCCACCACTGGGGCGCAGCGCTCTCTGGGAAATGGAGTTCTATGCAGTGATTTCTTTGTCTGCCTTTCGTTGGGGGAACTACAAAGACCAGAATTCTCGGCGCACGCTTGAAGGTGAGGCTAGGCTGGTAGGGCCCGGATGTTAGAGGCGGTCGCTAAAGGCAGAAAAGGCTGTGATTGGACGGTTTGCTGCATGCATTGTGCGGTGTCGCGTTCTCTGGAGTGTCGGAAGGTGGAGGTGGGGTCCCGATGCAGCCCTGGGAGGGGGCGTGGGCCGCGGCTGTGAGTCAGGCCCCCCCGCAGTTCGAGGCCGGAAGTGGCCCTGGGGGGCAAGAATCGCTAGTCGGTGGAGAGACGGGTACCTGAGGGCTATCGGAAGCCGCGGGGAGCGCGATGCGGCCCGGCGGGCACCGGCGGGGGTCGGGGTGCCCCGGGGGCTGTGGATGCTCGGGCGATGGTGGCGAGGATTCTGTATAAACTGGATCACGGGGGATGGGGGGGGGGAGCATCCAGGTCGCTGGGAGCAGTGAGGACTCAGGAGAGAGTTTCTGGAAGGAAATGCGCGGGGCCTACTTTTGTTGAGACCTGGGAATCGATGGGCAGGAAGATACCGGGGTCAGAGGGGCGGCCGCAGGGTCCTAGGCTAAAGATGTCACCGCGGGCGGGGCGGGGCGGGGCGGGTGCGAGAGGGGCCTGTTTGAGAGGGGTCTGGAGGCTGAGTTGACGGCTGTGTGGAAAAAGAGTGGCGGAGGGGGCCAGGGCACGCATGCGCGCGCGCGCACACACACTCGCACAAGCACACGCACGATTCTCAGTAAAACCAAATCGGAAGCTGGTAGAGAAGGAAAGATGCTAGGGAAGGAGTCCAGGCCCCCCAACATGGGAAGAGCTGTACCACAGCTACAGCAGCCTCCTCAGAATACTTGGGGAGGCTGGTACCTCTGTGACCTGTGAACTCCTTTCTACAAAAGGCAAAGGAGGTTAAGTAATTTATCCTGAAGGTAAGAGAGAGAGAGAGAGAGTGTTGTTGTTGTTCACTTAAGGTACTTGTTGATCCTAGAGACATCACCAGGAGCCAGGTCATATAGTACCTATAAGGAACTTAAGATCTCAAGGAAATATCCCTCATCTTGTATCTTAACTTCCAGCCTTGAACTGGAGCTCCCGACTGCCTGTATAATACCTCCTGCTTTGTCTAGAACAACAACTCCAGTGTCACCTCATCAAGCTCTTCTGCTCCCACCCCTCCTCCACTGTGGTCACATGCAGCCAGAGGGGCACTGGGAGCACCTGCTCAGGTCCATTCAGTGCTTGGGATCCCTCCATGGCTCCATGTCATGCAGGGTAGAACCAGAGCCTTTTCTTTGCCCGGTCTGCTCTCATCACCCCTGCCCTAGACACATTGGCCATAGGACCTTTGTACTTTACCCCAAACACTCACCTCCCAGATTGCCCACATGCATCCTTCGCCTCCTTTATGTCTTCACCAGATGACACATCCTCTGTGAGCATTTCCCTGGCCACTGTTTTGAAATTATGGCATTAACAGCTGTGTGTGTTTTTCCTTAACTTTTCCCTGTGTTGTATCATATCACTAACACTGTAGAATTGGTTGTGGGGCTTGAACTCAGCCTGGGCGCTGTCCTTGAGCTCTTCAGCTCAGGCTAGCACTTTACCCCTTTGAGCCACAGCTCTACTTCCAGTTTTCATTGGAGATAAGAGTCTCATGGACTTTCCTGCCCAGGGTTGCTTTGAACCATGATCCTTAGATCTCAGCCTCCTGAGCAGCTAGGATGACAGGCGTGAGCCTCTAGTGCCCATCTCAGAATTTATCTTGTGGATTGCCACTCTGCCCCAGACCTCCAGCTGTGTGACTGCAGAGACTTTTACCTATTTTATGCTTTGCCCTCTCCTATCTCCAGAAGAGAACTTGGCACACAGTAGGGCTCACTGTCTACCAGATGAACCATTTCAAAGGGTCGAAGGAGATACTGGAATCCTAGGGACTCCATCCCCTCCACAACTAATTTGTGAGGGCTTAAGTTATGGGGAAGTAGTTCATCTTGTCTCTGCTTTGTGCTCAGCTGTACAAACACAGCAAGGGACAAAATCACTTCCCCATCCTGAAGGACCGCAGCCTTGCAGGAGGGCTTCCATGGTCAGAAAATCCAGCAGTGTGAAATTACAAAGGTGAACTGGCAGTGTGCTATGTGAGCATCAATAAGAAAACTATTCTGGATCAGAGGAAAGAGGCGTGAGGCCATGAAGAAAGAGTATGCAGCTGAAGTGCAGGGCTCAGTGGTAGAGCGCTTAGCCACATTACACTAAGGTCCTGAGTTCCAGTCCCACTACTGCCAAAAAAAAAAAAAAGGCTTGTGTGAGGGCTAGAACTCAGAGGCTGAAGCCGAGCAAGAAACTGGACCATGCCAGTCCTGAAAATCTTTGGGTGCTTATTGTACGTGTAAGGGAGTGGGGGTGTTGTAGGAGCACTTTTAAGCAGCGGAAGGCATCATGGTTTTGTGTTTTAAAAGATTCCTTTGCCCAGATGGGAGTCAGTGGCTCATGCCTATAATCCTGGCTACTTAGGCAGCTGAGATCTGGAGGCTGGTGATTCCAGATCAGCTCAGGCAAAGAAATCTTCTTCCATTTCAATGAAAGAAGCTGGGCATGGTGGCGTCCTTCTGTCATCCTACCTATCTATAATGGGATACAGCAAAAAGGAGCACCGCATTCCAGGCACACACCTGGGCAGGAAGTGAGATGCTATCTCCAAATAACCCATGCACCAAAGGGCTGGAGGTGTGACACCAGTAGTAGAGTACCTTCTCATCAAGTGCCAAGCTCTGAGTTCAAACCCAGGCCCCACCCCAAAAAAAAAAAAAAAAGCAATTCCTCTTATCTCTCACGTGAGGAATTGACTAGAGAGGATTGAATGTTGAAGTAGAAAGGCAGCTGATGCCCCTGTTGATGCAAGGTAGGACTAGCTGTGGTTAAAACCAGCCACACTCCTTGTTGATCCTGTCAAGAGAGGGATCTCTTTTTCTCCTTGAACCTTGGCTGAGGCTATAATTTGTTTAGAAGTAAAACTGACATAGCCAAGCATTGGGGTGCTCCCTAAGAAAACATGGTTTGCATGCTCAGCCTCGGTTTATGTGTGGTGGTCTTGATGGCAGGCATTGTTCCAAGCCTTTGTGTGCAGGGAGTCAGTTACCTGTCCTTGTTAGGAGAGGTGCTGGGCCACCGAGCCATCTCCTGTCCCAGTACTCAGTGAGGCCTTTTCACTTGTAGTCAGCTGCTGGCTGTGGGCAGATGTGAGCCCATCAGTCCATGTTCATCCTGTGTGCCTTTAATCACTTTCCTCCACAACATTCTCAAGGCTCTATTTTTCTTTTTCCTTCCCTTTTTCTTTTCCTTCCCTCCCTCCCTCCCTCCCTCCCTTCTTCCTTCCTTCCTTCCTTTCTCTCTTTCTTTCTTGTGCCCAGGCACTGTCCCTGAGCTTCTTTGGGTACAAGACTAGCGCTCTACCACTTGAGCCACAGCTCTACTTTCAGCCTTTACTTTGTAGTTTATTGGACATAAGAATTTCATAGACTAGCCGGGCGCTGGTGGCTCACGCCTGTAATCCTAGCTACTCAGGAGGCTGAGATCTGAGGATCTAGGTTCCAAGCCAGCCCGGGCAGGAGAGACTGTGAGACTCCTATCTCCAATAAACCACCAGAAAACCGGAAGTGACGCTGTAGCTCAAGTGGTAGAGCGCTTGCCTTGAGCTGAAGAGCTGAGGGACAGCGCCCAGGCCCAGAGTTCAAGCCCCACGACCGACAAAAAAAAAAAAAAAAAGAATTTCATAGACTTTCCTGCCCAGGCTGGCTTTAAACCCATGATCCTCAGATCTAAGCCTCCTGAGTAGCTAGGATGACAGGAGTGAGCCACTGGCTAGGAGGAACTATTTCTAATCTTGGATTTCTTCCTTTGGAAGAAGGGCTTAAACCACTGTCTTTAGCAACTAAGAATTTTCCCGATGTGTCCCCAATTACTTGTTGAAAAAACAAAATCCCTTTGAGCTCTACATCCTGCCTCAGCCTGGGATTACAGACATGTACCACGACTCCCAGCAGGGACCTCTTTTTGTTTTTTGGCTTAAACTCAGGGCCTGGACACTGTCCCTGAGCTTTTGTGCCTAAGGCTGCCACTGTATCACTTGATCCACTTCACTTCTGGCGTGCATGTGTGCGTGCATGCGTGCGTGTGTGCGCGTGCGCACGCGCGTGTGTGTGTGTCGATCGTGTGTGTGTGTGTGTGTGTGTGTGTGTGTGTGTGTGTGTGTGTGTGTGTGTGTGTGGATCGTGGGGCTTGAACTCTAGGCCTGGTTGCTGTGCTACCACTTGAGCCACAGCACCACTTCCGGCATGCGAGGCAAGCACTCTACCACTGAGCCACCTTCCCAGCCCCACTTCTGGCTTTTTACTGGTTAATTGGAGATAAGAGTCTCACAGATTTTCCTGCCCTGGCTAACTTTGAACCTGCATGCTCAGATCTCAGCCTCCTGAGTAGCTGGGATTGCAGGCATGAACCACCAACATCTGGCTTTTCTTTCCTTTCTTTATCCTCAGAGCTCAGCCTCCTGGGTCCCTAGGATTACAGTTGTGAGCCACCAGCTCCTGGCTTTTTTTTTTTTTTTAAGAAAGCTACTCAACAATTTCCTTCACCCAGATTATTCCTCTCTCTCCTCCCACTGGCCACTTGTCCACCTTTCTGGTTCTCTGTCCCCTTTCTCCCAGTTTTCCAAATACAGACACATCTGTGCAGTAGGCCGCTGTCCCCCTGGCCAGGTCTCTGGAATGCTTTCTATAACCTGATCCTCCAGGCGCTTCTCCTGGCCTGAAAGTAACCCTTCACCACCCTGCGACAGGCAGGTGGCTTGGCAGACCCGTCCCCCCATGGTAGGACATGTAATCTGCTGGTGGCTTTCTGCCATGGTTGTGGCCTCTTCCTTATTTGGGTGGGTTTCTGGCTTGCCCTGGGCACCAGCTGAAGCACATGGTGTGCACACAGGGTCCCAGAGAACATGAGTTGGGGTCTTCAAGCATTAATGGCAGGAATCAGGTCTGGCTTGATCCAGGTTCATAATCAGGCCTTTAACCATGAATGAATCCAGGCTCGTAGCTGAGCATTTCCTTTGAAGGCAATAGAAAACCATAGAGGTCTTTTTAAGCTCCCGCCCTCAGGATCTTGTTAAAATGCACTCTAGTCCTTGGAATGGGCCTGAAACTCTGCATTTTTTAACAAGCTCTCTTGTGATGTGGATGCTTGCTATCACAATGTTAGGGGGTGGGGTGGGTTGAGCTGTTCAGGGTGACAGCCACAAGCTACCCAGTGACTATGGAGCCCTCAAAATGTGGCGCCCTCAAAATGTGGCTGGTGTGACATGGGATGTGTTTTCAGTGTAAAATATCCAAATTTGGAAAGACTTGGTATGAA